CCCTGACTTCCTTCCTTCCTTCCTTCCTTCCTTCCTTCCTTCCTTCATCCCCTCACTCCCTCCCTCCTTCCTTTCTTTCTTTCTTTCTTTTTTGGAGTAATACACGTTTATACAATCACGTCAGAGAAAATCCTCTCTAAGAGATTGCGTTTTTATTCTCAGACGACGCGTGGATCGAGACTCGAGTTCTTCGTCATCTCCGGAGTCGCCACTACCCTCCAAGACAAAGGAAAGAGACTCAACCCAAACATCCAAAAAATCAGAGGACCTGAGAAGATCTACATCTCCCAAACCTTCTTCCACTTCCAAGAGAAAAGCAAAAGAAAGATCCCATTCCCCCGATGCTGTGCGCCAAAGCCCGCCAAGGTCAAGGTCGCAGGAGGAGAGACAAAGAAGATCCCCGAGCGTCGAGAAAAGGAGAGAGTTGCCATTGAAGAAGATTACTAGGAAAGAATCGAGTGAAAGGGAGGAGAAGCCTGAACAGGAGAAAAGGGACAGTGTTTCGCCTGCAAGGGTATGGATATTTTATAGTATATTTTGCTTTGCCATGCCATGCCATTTCTTTACTTTTCAATTCTTTCCTTCCATTTGTTTCCCTTTCCCTTGCTTTCCTTTCCCTGCTCTTCTAACTCTTCCAATTTCTTTTCCTTCCCTTTGTTTCTGTGCTTTGATTTTTGCTCCCCTTTCGTCCTTAAGAAATGGGTCACTTGCTCATTTGACAAAGTTTTTGAAATTTTGTTTTTTTGTTGTTGTTGCAGGAGCCTTCTGTGGAAAGTGAAGGGCAAAAAGAAAAACACAAAAAGAAGAAAAAGCACAAGAAACACAAAAAACATGGTGCGTCCAAACACAAGCGAAAAGACAAACATAAGCACAAGAAACAGAAACCAGCGAAAACCAAATCATCTGAGGTAATTAACGAGTGAGCTGTCAATCCTGTTTTCATGCWGATGGAACCTGTTTTTATGTTACTCAAACCTGTTTTCTTGTTGGTCAAACCTGTTTTCACGCCGGTCAACCCTCTTTTTTATGCTACTGGTTGGTCAAACTTATTTTCATGGAGTTCTCTCTTTGTTTTCTTCAGAACTCAGAAAGTGAAAATGAACCAATGGAAGAGGAACCGGAAGTAAAAGGAAAAGGAAAACCGGAAGAAGACGGTGAAAACCTAGAAAAACAACTCCGAGAAAAAGCTCTTCTCTCGATGCGGAAACACTCGCGTCAGTACGATTCGGACGATGAGTAAACCACCATCTTTCATTAGTTTTAAGACTTTTCAATTACTCTTGCATCCAAACCACATCTAAGGTGTTTGCAGAAAGATTTCCCTGTGCAGTATTCAAGTTTTAGTAAATGTAAGATCTAAAGTAGCAGTATAGTACTTGATAGTTCTTATGAGAATTTCGACCAGAAGCTGTAGCAAAAGTCTTGATTAGTATTTTCGAGAGAAGATTTTGATGAAGAAAATCGCATACACCAAGGTACACCATGGAAATATCTCTGGTAAAGTTGGTAAACCCACAAGTTGTATCAACCATTGCTCAAAGTAGAAGCAAGTTCTGCGCAATCAAAAATAACCGTTTTCGGTTTAAAATAATCAATTTCATGCGACCTGTCATTCCCTTGAGTATGTTTTTATTGATTCCAGGTATCTCTTGAAGCATAATTAGGTAATAGAAGCGTAGGAGGCTATTCTACTGAAGTGTTTTCTTCTGGAACTTGCACTACCCTTGCGCGAATTTATTTTATTTTAAATTTTATTGTCAAATCTAAAGCGGTTCTCAAAGGCATAAAAAATACTGGAGAAGGAAAAACATAAGGAGACGATGCATTATATTATATCTGAATTTTATCTCTATTTTAGGAACTTAGCGTAAAGTTTATTCGTCTTATCGATGGAATACTAATAGCAAAGACGTAGGTTCTGACAAGCATCTGCGCAATATTCAGACCACAATCTTCCAGCATATTGAAGGAAAGTTTTTCTTAGTTGTCATCCAACATGGCGGAACATGGTCACGTGACTTGTCAGATCGGCAGTTGTATTATATATTCTCCAGGACTTACGTTCTGCCTTAAGCCCCGTTTACACTGCCGATTTTTGCTGCAATTTTTGTGTCAATTTTCGGAAATATGAAAATTTTTTTCTCATCCTTCAAAAGAGACATTCGTCTAGGAAAATCTTGGTATCCTGAAAAAAAAAAACACTTTACGAGTAAATTCTTTACCATTATTTATTATGGACAAAATCGCAAAAAAATCGCAGCAAAAATCGCAAAAAAAACGCTAGTATAAACGGGGCTTTAGATTTAGTAACCTAATAACAGACGTCTTTCGGATCTGTCACGCAACGTTTCCCTCCCCACGAACGGGAAACGTTGCGTGACACCCTAAGAACGTAGCGTAGGAGGCTATAGCTTTAGTTGTACGAAAAAAACACAGGCTTCACTTACTTGACTTCCTGTGGATCTTGGAGAAACAGGAAGCCCAAACAGGACAAAGTCATCTTGTATAAACAAGCTATCTGATATGGCCTTGAGAGGCATGTATGATATAATAAAATGACTAAGCATTTTGGCTAGGTTTTATTTATATAGTTTTACATATTTTAGTATAGATCTGCGAGTTTTTTCTTACAATATATTTACAGGAATACGGTAGAAATTGATGATGGCTGCAAAGGAGACAAACTTCAACGTCGAACTTCCGCATGAGCCGAACCTAATGAAGACCGCTTTGTTTCAATTGGGTTCGGCTCATGTAAAGTTCGACATTTGACCTGAGTCTAAGTTATATTCAGTGTAGATCGGTTTTCAATGATTTTCCGGACCCAAATATTTTATATCTACATATGATACCGAGTGTGTTCCATTGGGAAGCCAGAATTTCTTTTATCCAAGTAACTGCAGAATCAAGATATCACTTATACTTCAGTATCTCTTCTCATTCCATAAAGGTCCAAACCCTGTTGACCTCCAAGCAATGGTGTTCCTGGACCCAAACCCACAGTAGTAAAAATACTGGACCCCTCTGACTGGCCACCGTCGCGTCGATTGCGCAGAAGGTTTTCACACTCGACCAGGTATTCGTTCTTTGCTACCATTAGGTCTGACCATGTGTGGATGAATAAATACATCTTGAAATCGATGGCAAGAGGGAAAACGTAGGTCACCCATATGAATTCGTCACCAATACCATAGTTAGCACACTCTTCTGCCATGTCCAGGAAAAACATTGTTGCTATCATCCAGAGCATTACGTGGAGAGATCGCCAACTCCTGCATGGGGAAATATAAATTGGTCAGCGGGGTGAATGCGTTGGCGAGTAAGTAGATGAGTATAGTCGGTGCCCGGGGAGGGGAGAGGGGTACTCCCCTACATTTGCTATACGGGTATGTGCCGCCCTATAGGGTATGTTGTTTTGGCTTTTGGGTCTGGGGTAGGGTATCCTTTTTTGACATTTTGTCTGGGATAGGGTATCATTTTAGTCAGTGGGATAGGGTTAACGATTTGGTCATTTTTTTCTGGCGATTAGACTACGCTTTCTACCGACACAAAAACAATAAAAACGTTAGTAAATATTGATTCATAGATTCCAATCTATTTAATATCTGTCTTTTCTGTCTGTTAGTCTGGGATAGGGTGTACAATTCTTAGTTTTAGTCTGGAGTGGGGCATGTAAAATAAAAATTTTAGGTCTGGGATAGGGTCAGAGTTTTGGGGTCCTGGCGGCACACCCCTACCCAAGTTGGGGTGGTAGTACCCTTACCCACCCCGGGAGTCGGTGGGTTGGTGAGCTACATTGCTAGCATTGATAAATGAGTGAGTGGACGAGTAAAGCGATGGGTGTAATAGTTGTGTAATAACCTTAAATAAGGTTATTATGAGTAAGTTGGTTGGCGAGTGAATAGATGAGGAAAAAAGGGAGTGGGTGTGCTGTTAAGTGCAATGATTGGGTAGGTAAGTGGATGAGTAAGTTGATGCCGAGGGGATTAATGATTGAGTAAAGGGATAAGCGAATGGATTGGTGGAGTGTGAGTGGGTTAGTAATGTGGTAGGTGAGCGAATGAGTGGTTCCGTTTGTGATAAGATAATTGTCAGTTGCTGAAGTAGATGAATAAATAAGTCTATTGGCGAGTGAGTTATAGTAATTAAAATGGTTGCGTTTGTTCAAGTAGATAATTGTCGGTTGGTGAGCGAGTGTGTTGATGAAGAAATGGCTTGGAGAGTAAATGAATGCAACGATGAGAGTAAGCCGGTTGGTGCGTATATGTGCGTTACGATGTTGTGCAAAGAAAAAGTTGTACCTTATTCTTCTCCTCTTATGGCACATCCACATCCCAAACATCCCCAAGGAGATGCACCCAAAAGCTTTAAAGGATTCTCTGGCTATCTGGTAATAAGATTCTTTAGTGTGAGGCGTTACTGTGGTCAAGTGAAGTGCTAGCACTGTATGATACGTAACGGCCACTATTGAATAAAACAGCAACAGTTTCGTATGGTGGAATTTCTCACCAGAGATATAAACCGAAACATTCTCAAAGCCCTTAGAGTCTGGAACTTGGTTGTCGTTTGGTTCACATGGGATTCTGTTAGAGGAACCACTACACTTCAACCTATGAAAGATCAAATATATTTCTGATCAGAACATTATTTTCAGTTTCGTTCGAGGAGGCCGTTCGATAATCAACATAAGGGCAGGGTTCGGGGGAGGGGTCTCCTTGAAAAAAAAAAAAAAATGGTGAGAGCGTCGGACTGCTGTGCGGGAGGTCGTGATTCAAGCCTCGGCCGGATCAACACTCAGGGTTTTAAAATAACTGAGGAGAAAGTGCTGCCTTTGTAATTACATCTGCAAATGGTTAGATTTTCACGTGGTTCGGATGACCACGTTAATGGCGGTCCCGTCCCTAATTAACAAGAGGCGTTAAAAGAGGACCACGAGTTTGTCAGTTGAATTACTGTCAAGTGTCATCCTCTATAAACAAAGTTAATTCATTTATTTTTTATATATAGACAACATTATAACACCGAATTTTAAAATCTAATATCATTCATAAGAGCCGAGACTACAAACTCGACATGCATACTCACCTAACACACACTATTGCTAACGTTAGAGAGGTTAACAAACAAGCTGCTGTAGCCAGGCGTTGGTGCTTGTTTTTACCGCGGGGACTCAAAACAAATGATGCAATAGCTATACCGCAGTAGCACGCGGCGAGGAACCCAGAACTCCACCGTCCTTTTCCAATTTCCGAGTGAGAGATCTGAAAAAAAATTCACTGTGCTGAGTTATCTGTGGTAGATCCTTTGTAAAATAGGGTGTGTACCATTAGTAAAAATACACAGGTGATTATTGAAAATCTCGCGCGCTGATTGGTCGAGAAACTCACACTATCACACGCTTTATTGTTGTGATTCCGTGATTTAAGGTGGCTGCCTACTTTTGAACGTTCGATTTGAGCCCACGATGTGCGCGCGCTCAAAAACCGCTGAAAAATCTACAAGATTTTATTGAAGAACCATACGCGTTTTGAGCTTCAACAGGGCAAAACCCTCAAATTTTGCACGGGACTCTATATTT